GATGTAATAGAAAGTGATGAGAAGGATACGAAGAAGGAAGGAGAAGAAGGGGGAGGAAAAGAACAGCAAGGATATTATAAATGTACCGCTGGGGGTGGATGATTGAGATGCACATACTTTTTATATCCAGCCTCATATAAACTTAAGAGGAATTTTTTGTATGTATACAGGGGCTCATGATTTCGGATCTATGGTTCAAAAGGTTTCTGGGATCCAGTTGGTAGAGGTGGCAAATGTTATTGTGATTGTTGTAGGACTTCGCTTTTTTAAAAATTTTCCAATTTCCAAATGGATCCCTGTTGTTTTCTCTTTTAAATTTCACACATGATTAGCTAGTTTGTTAGAGCCCTTAGGACTTACTAGCTTGAATGATGACCTATGGTTGTATCATCTTCGTTTGAAAGTACCTTCAGTACATCCTATGTACGTTTTATATGCTACTAATAATAGATATATATCTGTTGCTAATCATAATTCATAATTTCTATATGGTACAAATAATAGATATATATTCGTTGCTAATCATAATTCATAATTTCTATATGCTACTAATAATAGATATATAGTCGTTGCTAATCATAATTCATAAATTCTATATGCTACTAATAATAGATATATATGTGTTGCTAATCATAATTCATAATTTCTATATGCTACTAATAATAGATATATATGCGTTGCTAATCATAATTCATAATTTCTATATGCTACTAATAATAGATATATATGTGTTGTCAATCATAATTCATAAATTCTATATGCTACTAATAATAGATATATATGTATTGTTAATCATAATTCATAATTTCTATATGCTACTAATAATAGATATATATGCGTTGCTAATCATAATTCATAATTTCTATATGCTACTAATAATAGATATATATGTTTTGTCAATCATAATTTATAAATTCTATATGCTACTAATAATAGATATATGTGTTGCTAATTATAATTCATAATTTCATTCATGTGCTAACCGTCAGTCCCAAATATGTTCCTGACGATTGCTCCGTGAATGAAACTCAGAGTTGCACCAAACAGTAACGATTGGAGGAAATGTCTTAATTTTAATTGTCTTAAACGGCTCCAAAACGAAACTGCTCTCTTTTATTCCTCTTAAAGAACCTTTTTTGCTTCCATCATCATGGTTGATTTTAACAACTTATTAAGCCTTCTCGGTCTCATGTACTTCACTGACATGAAACGGAACGATTGTATTGAATCAATTCTGTTAGATAAGTTGGTCCACTATGTCGTACGAGACAATTTTTCTCGTGAATCTATCTTGCACAGTTATAGGGCTACCATTCGTCCGTACATTGAATATTGCTGTCATATCTAGGCTGCTGTTTCTGCTTTAGATCTAGAGATACTTTACAAAATCCAAAGAAGAATCGCCATTTGTCTTTAGCTTCAATTGCTTTCTCATCGCCATTTCCCTGTCCCTTTCCTGTAAATATTTTCATGGCCATTGTTCTGGTGAGCTCTCCTCTTTGACTTTCGACTTCACGAAATTGATCTCATAATTTAACGGCTGAAATTGTTAGGTGTTAGTTTCACGCTTATAGTATCTTCTCTCGATCTTCTCTTTCGTGGGAATCTCTTGTCAGCTGTGATTTTCAAAAGTTTAAATGGTACGTCAATCATCATTTTGTGTCCCCTTGAATCCCGTTCTCTCATTGTCATCTCCTAGTTTTTTTTTTTTTTTTTTAACTCTCAGCAATCTCTTGCGTCTTAGTAGCTTTTATCAACTTGGTTATAAAAATAATAATAAAATATTACCACCGCGAACTACACGTACATTGTCCTATTCCCATATATGAAACATATACGCATGACCGCACACATATATGCCTACCTATAGAGGCAGACACACCAATAGACACTAGTAGGACACACACACACGTGCGCGCGAACGCACACACACACATTGATCCGGCCTGTTTTATACCACTCGCATAAGATGGTGATTCCACCTACGAAAAGTGCGGAGACATGAACCAGTGAACGTGTTAAGACTTCGTATGTCCATTCCACGAAGTATTTCCTTGCAGATTCTCACAGATTCTCGATTGTATTTAAATCGGGAGATTTTCCGATCCAGTCTATAGCACTTTGATTTACTCACTGGTAAGGTGTGCCAGTGTGTTCGAGCAGCGTTACAATTTTCGTACGCTTCCTTGGATTAAGATCCGTCACAGACAATAGCCGTAGGACAACTAATCGACAGCCGAGACAATAGTGTCTGGACGTGATAAAAATCTGATGCAATCACGGATGACGCAATATTTTTAAAGCCAAACAAATTTATCATACATCACGAAAATAGATTTATATTACTGCACACCACTGGAAATGACCTAATCTAAGGAAAAATAGAAATCGATTACACCTAACCAATCCAGTCGGTTAAAACTGAAAGAAAGGAAACTAAAGTGGTGCATATATATATATATATATATATATATATATATATATATGTATATATAGGTAA